GGAATCCTAACAAAGAAAGAGTAATATACACACAAAACTAACTGCCTGTGGGCACGTTACAATAGAGAAAACTTTATAAGAAAACAGCCGACAATCAACCGGATCTGATTGTAATGAAGAACACACTAAATTTAGCTAATTGTCACTCCCTATTTATACCTATTTCCACCGGTGCCGTGACTTAGGTAGTATGCTCCCTCAAGAGCGTCCCCTCAGGGAACATAATCCCGTCGGTCACTTATTGTAATTAAGTGCCGTTCCGCGTATGGTCGCGACAGTGCGCTTGTAAAGCAATAGATTTAATTAGATTTGAGAACTTGTTGAAATAGCACTACAATACACTGCTTATTATCACAGTGCTTTCGCAAGCAGAGGAATTACAGCAGAAGTTACGTAGAGAGCACAAATCAACGTCATTCCACATCATATAAAAAAAAGTTCACAATGAATTTGAAAAAGTTTTTGACATATTACCAGTATTTACCTTTGAAGAATTGTTTCTAACAGTTGCTCAATAAAAATTTGCTCGAAATTAAAAAAAAACAGACTTTAACTTGTTTTTTAAAGAACTAAAGTAATGTTTAAAGCTACTACAGTTTTTTTAGTGATAAAAATACAAGTCATAGCTTCGTTGGCTGAATAATTAAGCTAAATATTGTGCTTTAAACAAACCTTGAAAAAATATAAAATTTTAAAGTTTTATCTTTTCCACAGTAATTTGTGAAGCAATCTCCTTGTTTCGGGTTAATAACAGCGTATTGGCTTTGAAGTTTTTTTACAGTGGTTTGAATTTTTAAGTTATATGTAAATTATAGATTTGTTAAAATTAACTTTCAAACTGTATTTATAATAAAGTTCTCACAAAATCAATTAATTTACAGCGCAAATGTGAGTAAACTAAAAACATTAAAGTTGTCTGATGTAACACAGCAATAAAAACAACGAAAAAGTGTCATTTTAATTATACCTACTTTTTTTCCCAACATTTTTTTGTATATTAGTTGCAAATATCAAAAATAATAACAATAATCCCTGCTAACGCTGTTCATTGTAGAAGTTTTTTCTAGGATCTGTGCTGCAATAAACGCTGAAATTTCTGCTCGAATATTTAAACCAATACACACTGATACTTGTTCTTATAGTGACAGAGTAAATAAAAAATAAAATAGATTTTGATTATAACACGACGTGTACCTAACCTGTTGTCTATTTAATACGCTTATACATAACAAAGTAAAATTTATAAGACCAAATATTTGTTTTAAATTGTTTTGAAAAAAATTATGGGTAATTAAACTGTATGCTGTCTGAAAGCAGTGAATCATTGACTATTGCCTTGATGTTGACATATTTTGTCTCCAGTAGCAATATTTACAAAGATTGCTGTCTTGCTGAGTGATTATTCATAACCTTTCTTTTTAGAAATAAAGTATGCTTCTTAGCTCGTTGTCTTTGACTTTGAACTTTTTTGAGTAGAACTGTTAACAGCAAAAACAGTCTAGATCATTAATGACCATTTAATCGGTAATTTAATCAAATCTTGGATTTTTTCAGCATTATATTTGTTTTACTGCAAACTTTCTTCTGAGCGCTTTTTAAAACTTTAGTCAAGGGCTTTTATGCAACTTTTAGTTAATTTACACTTTAAGCTACTATTCAAAAACCTTGTTTTACAGCGCTGAGAACGGTTTGATAATAATTTTATGTTCTAACCATTAGATCTCAAAGGTTTATTTTTTACGAGTTCTTATCTGTTAATTTGTCAGTTTATTTTTTTCGCATAACAGACAACAATCCAATTTTATTGATTAATTTTTTAGAAGCCTATGCAAAAAATATATTTTTAGAAATTTATCCTCTGTCGTCTACCATCAGTGCAAGTTTTTTTGTAAATTTTTTATTCGCAAAATTTTGTTTCTTTTATTTTGCTTCATTTCCTTTCTCCTCCATAAAAAAAGAAATGAAAAACTGTTTTAAAAGTTATTACACTTTATATAAGCGTTTCATTACCCGAACGTTGTATCCTTCAGTAAACCTCTTTTAACAACGCATCTGTCAAACCAATCTTTGCACATAGCAATTGTCTACAGTAAAAAAAGTCGTCACATACAAAAGTTTAGTAATCTTTTTACTGTACGATAGTTTTTCCACCAAATGGCTGCTTGGGGATTAGCTCTTGTTGATAAAATTTATTTAACATTTGTGGGTTGAATCCGAATGGTTGAGCCAAAAATTCAGCTCCGAGCTCATTCTTCAATTCTTGCCCCATTTGGCGTGTAATTAAACGTGTTTCAGTTCCAGCATCTTCACCCAAATGGTCTCTCATGGCAGATGAAACTGTAATTATTATTTAGTACTTTCTTTTTAAGCAATTTTACAATAATTTTAGATATAAAACCTAGTTTTTACCTTGTTGTGCAATTGCTTGTAATTGGCCAGATGAGTCTTTTAACTCGGGGCTTTCCAAAAGAGCTGGTGGCGCGCCTAACTTTTTCAGTATAAAGAACGGTTTTGGAGGTTCCTGTAGTGAAACGTCTAATTCTTCTTTAGTCTTCAGTGTTTTGTCTCTGACTTCTTGTAATCTGCCTTTGAGACCGTCTAGCAGTGAGCAAGGTGTCACTTAAACTTTTACATTTATCAGTGGCATAAAGTATACTACAGATAACCTGAGTAATACTTGTTGAAACTTTACATTATAGATCAATCTGCTTC